TTGAAAGCACACCAGACTGTCTGTCCAATCTGAAGTCTCCAGATGGATCGCCAGCTGCAAGAGTGCAATTACCAATGGTTATAAAAAGCTGTGACATGCAAACCCAAAGGGGCAGCTGATCGGATCATTTAGAGTCCAAATAGTGAAATAAAAGAACTTCTCACCAGTTATTTTGTAGTTAATCTCCCCACTTTCACCAGCATCCTTGTCAGTAGCTCTCATTGTAAACAGAGGCAAAACCTCCAGGTTTTCAGGCACCTCTATGCTGTAGAAGAGACGTCCAAAATGAGGGATGTTGTCATTCTCATCGAGCACTCTGATCCTCACCGTGGCTTTGGCATAATTTGGGGGAAGACCTCCATCCTTTGCATAAACTGTGAATACATAAAAAGATATAAAAGCATTAAAAGAGACTTTATACAGATGTTGAATGCCACAGGTTACTATTTTAAAAGGTTAAATATGATGTATTTCAAAGCAAAACTATCTCCATGCCAGTGTAGGATAGCCAGAGGACGGTACCTGTTAGAGTGTAGTACTCCTGGAGCTCCCTGTCAAGCGACTTGGTGGTTGTTATGACACCTGTAGCTGGTTCTATTGTGAACCCATCCTGTGAGATACCACCAAAAGTCACCTGTCCATTGGTTCCTAAAGGGAAACAGTCACTTTGGTTATTAAAAAGAAAAGCTAGAAAAGGAGAGATTAATTCTTTACCTGAAATCATTTGACAAAAGAAAAACAGCTCATAAAACATGTAATGATCACTCAAATCATGAGCTTGCATACCTGTTTATTTGTTGTTAGCTTTGCTGTCTAAGCATTTAGCAGTGACCCCCCCCCCCCCTCATGTGTCTGGATGCCAGATTGCGTGCTAACACAAAGAAGTCTGGCAACCTCACCTGTTTACTTCACTGATTGCTTTTGGAGAGAAAGTTTATAATCCTTCTATTTTATGTGATTCTGACTAAGTCCAGGAGAATGTGCAGTTTCTTTACCCAACCCCCAACCTACTGAGTCGTTCTCAATTAAAAACAACTGTTAATGTAAAAGCCGAGAAGAATAAAAGGCATTTGCTAAAACAGCACAATTTGATAGCTATTACCAAAAAACCTGTGTTGGTTTAAACCAGGCTACATTTGGCTGAAATGTTTTTAAGATGTTTGTCTGATTGGTTAGTTAGAACTTTGACCAACCCTCTGGGAGAGCCCTGTTGTTGAAAAAAGTAGTAAAAGTAAGAAGCGACAAAGACTGTGCACATTGTTTTTCTCACCTTGGTCCAGATCAGAGGCAAACACTGTCAGCACACTAGTTCCTGGAGGCTGGTTCTCTGAAATCTGGGCGTCGTACTGGCTCTCCTCAAACCAGGGCACCTCATCGTTAACATCAATCACATGGACACACAGCAGCTGGCTGGACGAGTGCGCCGGTATCCCATGATCCTCGGCGACTATTGTGAGGTTAAAGACGTCCTGCTCCTCGCGGTCCAGAGGTTTGAAAATAGACAGAGAGCCTGTCGAGAGATGAATAAAGGGTGAAACGTGAGGAGAGATTTCCTGTATGTGTGTGTGGGTGTGCTTTCTTACAGCCTCACAGAAGTTTCACAGGACAACACACAGTAAGACAACATGCTATCAAAGGCCATAAAACATGCAACTTTCCACTGTTGTGTGTCGTCGTCAAGTGATTTCAAAAGCAAGTGTGAAAAGTTGCCGTGTGAGGGCCAAATCAGGGCTAATCTCCTGCACACACATACAGCTCTGCCTACCTGAGTGCTACCACCACCACAGCTCTAACAGCCCCACAGTCTGGCCACAGTTTACGAGATTTTCCATTGGAGAGTGCTGCAGCCATCGAGAGAGAAGCAGTAAACACACACCCTAGACACGCAACAGCCAGGCCTGCCGTGCTGCGTAGAAATTAGGGGGCACTCTTGCCTTTTCATTATCCTGACCTAAGAGGGTTTAGCTTGCATTGATTCAATTTCAATTTCATGCTTTAAAACCAGCTACAACTGTTAAAGAAAGAGAGCCAGGCCTGCTTTGGTTATAGCTTTTTTGTGCATGTTTTCTCTTTGTATCTCACTAGGACTGAGATAACTTGCCCCTAAGACTTTAATCTGGTAGGAATTACAGGCAGGAATATTTTCTCAAAATCTGACTCCTCTGTGATCGTGTAGTATTCCTGGTCACAGATAACACATGGGCAGAAGAAAGGCAGAGGGACACAGGAAAACGTTTTTATTTTGAATGTTTTTAATTCCAACATCTTAAGTCTAAGCGGGTCTAGTGGCGCCAACACTTTGGACTGCAGTGTGAGGGTTAGCTGAGGTTGCTCACACCACAAACACATCCTTCTTTTCTTATATCCTGAAGGCATTTATCAACATTTGATGTGTAAATCCCTGAATAGTGTTGTCTTTTGCAAAGAAGTAATCCACCTTATCACCAAGTGCACTCTCCCTTCGCTCCAGAAGTTGAATTAATGACCCCCCCACTGACAATGACTGATGAGACTGTGTCCCTCACTCTCTGCCTTTATACAATCCTAATAATAACTCTCTCTATTGTGGCTAGCTGTGATGCCAAAGTAATGAAAACAGAGTGTTTAAAGATGGTCCAAGGTCTGCGGTCTCTGACCCTGAAACAGGAGCAAACCAGGTGCAAGGAGGATTAACTCTGTCATTATTCTAACAAATAACCTGTGTGCATGAACACTTCAAGGTGAGCACCAAACTGGGCTGAAGGAGAAGTGGCATGCCTGATAGCCGCTGAATGTTTCCATCCTCCAGCTGCTCCAGGGGGGCAAGCCGGTTGGCGACTTGAAGGAGAAGGCGGAGCCAACGTCGACACGTGTCTCAAAAACCACAACAAAGCCCACAGGACCAAATAGCCCCAAGGTCAGCGTTAACTAAGTGACAGAGTCTCATGCAAGCACACAAACACATATGTGCATGCCTCTACACACACGTACACACATGTGCACACATAAACACGCGTAACTGATCCTTTCTCTAATGGTTCCCAGAAGCTCGAGCTGGAGGTTCTTTGGTCTTTCATGGGAATAGATCCACAATAACAGATGATGGGTTGTGCGTGTGCATGCTTGTGTAAGTGTATGTCTGCGAGAGTGTGTCTATGTTTGTGTTATATATATTTGGCAGACTGCACAGTCTGTCTGGCCTCCAACTAAGAGAAATAAGTCATGAAGAGTGAAGCAAGAGTTGTGCTGTACTCCGACGTAAGCAGACGTATTACAAGAGTTTGTGTGTTTATGGACGTGGATGTTTGATGACTGTTGTGGAGGAAGAACAAAGGAAAAGGAGTAAACATGCGATACAAAACAAGATTAAGAGGTGGCACCAATGCTTAAAAACATTCATGAAAAGCCCAGAAAACAGAGGTACACAGATGCATATTCACTTGTCCCCTTGTAAATATTTCAGTTTGAGCTGAGCATGTCTGAAGACTCAGTAAAGCTTCAGTTCTTTAAATCTCAGCAGGTGTTGAAAATATAGTTTTAACACAATCAATATAAAGAAGCCATAAAAAAATGACCAGAAAAAAAGATGTGGACCTGTAAAGAAAACAGCTGACTGAGATTTCACATCTATTTGTATCTCCTTCCTTCTCAGAGACACAAATGCATTGGCTATTTGCGCAAAAAAAACAAAGGTATGGATAGAATATTAAAGCCGAATCATATTAATTGTGGAAACTCAACTTATTCAGGAGATACACATTTCCTTTCAAAAAGTTATCTTAGATGTTTGATAGTTGAAATACTATGACTAGACTGAAACTGAACACTTCTACAAGGACCTAGACTACTTTCAATGCTCATTTATTGAATCATCTATGCCAATAATATTTGTGCATAGTTCTTAAAATATAGTTCTGGTTATTGAAAGTTTGAGTTAAAAATAGCAGATACTAGTGGTTGTACATGATAAGATGCAAACTTGTCACCAACATGTAAATCATCTTTAAAATTAACCCATCACCACCTGGCCTTTACTAGACAGGCTCTAGACATGACTCACCAGTGTTGGGGTTGAGGCTAAATGTTCCTCCAGTGTTGCCTGACTGAATGCTGTAGGTCACTCTGCCATTCTCCCCCTGGTCTGCATCTCTGGCCATGACATACAGCGCCACGAAGCCCACCGGCTGGTCCTCCATCACACTGACGGCTGTGGGCGAGCTGAACACTGGTGGGTTGTCGTTCTCATCAGTTACATACACCCTTGCTGTGACAGAACCCCAGCGTCTCTGGCTGACATCTTGGGCAGAGTCTGTTGCCTTGACGACCAGTATCAGGTTTGAGGTGACCTCGTGATCCAGCTCCTGGCCTAATGAGAGAATCCCAGTCGAGGAGTCCAGGGTCAGAAGGCCTGGGGTGTCTGGCCACTGGTGAAGGATGGAGTACCTCAGCTCACTGTTGGGCCCACTGCCATCCTGATCTGTAGCCTGGAAAGTATAAAGGGATGAGCCGGGCGCCATGCTCTCAGACACCACAATGGTTAAGGGGTCCTCTGGGAACTGAGGCGAGTGATCATTGCTGTCTTCTACATCAATGTCTAGGTGGACCAGGGTGCTGCTTGGATGAGCCGGAGAGAAGTCATCCACCTCAATCTGCAGGGTGTAGCGCTCGTCTCGTTCATAGTCTAGAGGACGTGCCAGGTACACATCTCCAGTCAGACGATCCACGACAAAGGTCCCATCTCTATCTGTGCCCCCCACCACCATGTAGGTCACCTCCCCTTCCTCTGAGTTTTCTCTGTCATGGAGGCGGACCGAACCAATAACAGAGCCTGGCTTTGCCTCCTCCACAGAATTAAAGGCTATGGAGAGAGAATTGGTCTTAGAGGAAGGTTTGCTGCTGCTGAGAACCTGCAAGAAAGAAAAACAGTGTGTGAGGATTTGAGGAATTAGCCATCTGACAGTGGATCTAAGGCTTCATGTAGATGCCAAACAGCAACAAAAGTTCAGAATTTTTACAAAAAAAGAATGAAAATAATTTAAGGGTTTGGGGCAAATCAAAAACCAATTGTGTCCACTCCATTCACTTGTACTGCTGTATGTGTCACTAAGAACAAATGAAAGCAGCTGCAGGAAGTTTTCATAGACTTGTATAACACGCCTGCTAACCTTAATCACACTTAATGTGCTACTCACGTCTCTGCCAGGAAAAAAAAATACATTTAGGATAACAGCCACACAATCAGAGGAGGGAATAGTGAAAGGAGTGGAACTTAGTACTTTGACTGTTTCTTGCACTGTGTGTTGCTTGACACTTACTTTGATGAACAGTTCAAGAGTCTCCAAAGAATACAACATTTCTACTTCTCGCCTTGTTATAAAGGCGCACCATAAGTAACAGATGACACATTGTTTCAATGAAACATACTTTCTTTGATACAGCCTTAGATTAAGGCACTTTAAGAAGTTGTAAAGAAGAAAGCAAGAGGAGGAGGAGGATGCATGATGACTATTTCAGCAGCTTAACAGATAGTGATTCATAGGCTTAATGGTTCATTCTGATGCACGGCTATGTACTGTAACAATTTTCCAGTAAGTGGGAAATCAAATAAATATGGTGTGTTCCTTTTGAAATCTTACATGACAAGCTGTGAATTGGTTCCACGTTAGATGGAAAGGGATTGCTCCATAAATACATGGTTATAGTCCAATGGCATCATTGATCAACTTAGAGAATCAGTCTGAAAAGATTATTAAAGGAAATTACAGAAATGCGTCAGCGGGCAAGAAAAACACTGCACTATTAAATCCAATTAACTAATGTTTATGATTTTCATTTTTTGGAAAGGGGGGAAACGTGAACTGTTACTTATTGTTACTGTTTATATGGCAACTCTATTTTCCTGGAACACATAAATGTAAGTCCCTTCCAGCGTTCTTCCATTGTGTCCTCTTTCTGTTCTATATTAAATATTAACTCAGTTACTTTAAATGCAGTGTTTTACGTGAGTGTAAAGCCCTGGCGCTCATTCCAAAAGGGCTACTGTGTTAAAAAAGTGTTGAAGTCTTTGAATATGACCTTGATCAGAGCGGTCTACAGCTGGCCCTCATCATCAGCCAGCTGGGAGTATTTGATTCAAACCCATTTTTCCATTTCAGATCAAAATTTCCCTTTTGAAAAGTCACAGGGGAAGAAAAAGGAGGGAAAGGGAGGGAAGCTTGTCAGAAGTGAGGCTGATATGTCTGCAGCGGGTCTGAGGGGCCCAGAGACGTGGATCCTCTCAGCCCCAGGTCTATTCTTTGATATTAAATAGGTGAGTGGTGAGGGTGTTTGTGCTGGCCGAGCGCCAATAAAAGTCTGACCTGAATGGTGAGGGAGCAGGAGGTGCTGCGAGGGGGCAGGCCTCTGTCAGTGGCTGTCACAGTCAGGGTGTAGTCAGCTCGCTCTGAGTGGATGAGCGGTGATGATGAACGCAGCTCCCCAGTGTTTGGGTTCAAAGAGAATCGCTCAGCTCTGAGACCTGACAAGGACAGAGAGAGAGAGGGAGAGTTTAACCTTTAACTAAAGAAGACGTATGCTGGAGCAAAAAAAGGACAAACCCAGTGATTCAGTTCTAACAAGGATGATTCCTCGAGGCTGGACACTGGTGTCTTATGTTTCCAGTATTAACTCAAATGTTTTCCAGTAACTTTTGTTTTCTGTAAACACAGTTCTACAGTGGTTGAAATAAAGCTACAAGTTTGTGTGGGTGTCCATTAACAGCTTTTATTTTGCCCACAATGTTAACTTCATAGTGCCTCTAACCAGCCCTTCCTGTTGCTATGTGGCAAAGGTTGACAACTCTGTTTTGCTCTGTACTGACCACTGAATCTGTTATAAATTTCTCAGTATGTTTAATATTTTCTTTATTCTCTGAGATTTTGTAAATTAAACATAAATACAATGTAAAATAATTGTGTCCTGGCTTTAGCAGCTGATCTTGACATGGAAATTGGACCCGCTAAAAAAAACGAGTCAGATTAGTTCTTATCCGTCATTGTTGTTGACAAAGTTGATATTGTAATTCCTGCATCTTCTTTAATTTGATTGGTTGGTGAGGGAGAAGGGACATTGATGAGCAAGGTTGTGTTACAAAAGGTGAACTATTTTCAACTGAGAGCACTGTGACCTCAACAACAAAAAACAGCTTATTCCGAGTGCAGTTTTGAGCCTTGGCTGCTGAGAGTCTTACTGCATTTGTTTAGGATTGAAATGGAGGCTGCCAGGGCAAAACAAAACAAAACAAAAAACTGTGTTAGTGGACACAGGTCCTCAAAGATGCTAGAAAACAATAAGGCAATACCAAAAAATGAATAAATGAAAATAGTTCATAACTCTGCCTATTCTCATAAAAGCTGTCCTGTTATTTTGTTTTCCTTCATTCATATTAAGTACACCTTAATACCGTGCAACATTTTATATGCATTTTATACAGTATCTTTCCTTCCTGCATGTAGCATACCTGACAAAGAGTAGAAGACGGTGCCATTCTCTCCTTCATCGGGGTCTTTGGCCTGCAGGCTTCCCAGTAAAACCCCAGAGGACTGACCTTCCATCACCTAAAGAGTTAGAATGCAAATAGTGTTAAGACATAAAAGACGATTAGTTTTTAAAAAACTTTTGTGTGCTTCTGATCCAGTGACATCACCTGTATGATGAGGCTTTTGCCAGATTGGCTGTGGGCAAAAGTGGGATCATTATCATTGTCATCCAGTACTGTGATGAAGGCTGTGCCTGTGGCGCTACGAGGGGGCGAACCTCCATCTTGAACCACCACCACCAGCTGGTAACTCGACTGCTGCTCTCGGTCCAGGGTAGTCCTTGTACTGATCTCACCTGGGAAGAGGAGGGGGTGGATGAGAGGGATTTTATGCCAAGGCACCAGTCCAGACGAGTGGAATAATGATGAGAGACTTAGAGGCCAGCAGGCTTTGATCAATGACACGTGAGTAATCGACATGCACAGTGTGCAGATGTTCATGCACTCACACACACACGCACACAAATAGAGTACATTTGAAATGCTGGCAGATGCTGTTGAGACTCATAACTCAGCCAGAAACTGATCACAAATAAGAGACTGCATCTCCACCCACAGACTAACAGGCTCAGCAGCCCAATTAGAGCGCTGCGAGGTGCTCGTTGCTGCTGTCACCATCATCTGACTAATTCATGAATGTGGGGAAGCAGCAACAGTAGATGCTCATCTTTTAGAGATAGCTTGGTGAGTTTAGTCAATACTGATTGATTTCTTTCATGAGTCATTCAGTGTTTGATGACTCAATAAACTGCGTTTCTTATGGAATCATGAGAACTTGTTTTTAAATGAATAGGGAATCTCATTAAGAAAAGAATGACTTGTCTGTTTACCTTAGTTGAGCATAGATTTTTTAGCTAAATTAACAGCAACATTGAGCAGTTTGAGTTTGTGACTGTGAAACGCAGACATTCTACTAAACACACACAATTCAACAAATAATAGCAGCAGTGCAGTGTTTTTTATCAGCGTCTGTGTCAAAGCTACATAATTAAAGCATGATGTTACTGTCAGCTTTTCATTCATGTCCGCTCTCTATGCTCTTTCTTCAACATCCCCAAAGATTTTCTTCGGTTGGAAGATGAAGTAACTGTAAGCTTTCAACATTTGCTGCTCCTATCAAAATAGACTAGCTGTGATTAACCTTTGTACAACACATTTTTAATTTACCTGTGTGGGAGTTTATCTGGAAGTGGCGTTCGGGTGCAGCAGGCGATAGCCGAGACGTCCGTTGGAACCGCTGTCTCGGTCTGTGGCAGACACATGACCGAAGCCTGTTCCTGCAGGGAGGTTTTCTTTCACAGCCATGAAGACACGCTCCTGTGTGAGACGAGGAGAGTTGTCATTCTCGTCCGTCACAGAGACCCGCACAGTGGCACTCCCCGTCTTCTTCAACTGTCCTTGACCCTGGCTGGCCATCACTGTTAGAAGATACATGTCTTTGACTTCTCTGTCCAGGGCGCTCTTCACAAACAGCCAGCCGCTGTCTGCAGCAATGCCAAACCCTGCTGCATCTCCGTCTGGACGCAGGTGATATGCCAGTGGACTCAAGTATCCGGAGCTGGGGGTTTCTCTGTTCAGAGCTCTGACCTGCAGGAAGCGTGTGTTTATAGGAGTCCCTTCTTTCAGCTCTACCCGGTAGGTGAGGGTATCAAACACAGGTCCCTGGTCATTCTCTGCCTGGATGTGGACCACAAGCACGAAGGTGGCGCTCAGCTGAGGCACACCGTTGTCTTTGGCAATCACATGGAGGTCACAACGGGGGGTACTATCATAGTTGAGGCTCCCCACCAATCGTATCTCTCCACTGCTGCGCTCGATGCTGAAAGTCCTTTGGACTCCACTCAGAGAGGACATATCAAAAGTGAGTTGTCCATTGACTCCAGAGTCTCTGTCCTCAGCTTGGACCCGATACACCACTGTTCCCATTTCTGTGTACTCTGGCAGCAGCAAGGACTCAGAGGACGAGGGCAGGAAAACAGGCGGGTTATCATTAATGTCTGTGATGGTAATGTGGACACGGGTCTGGCCAAAGGCAGGGGGGTTTCCACTGCGAGCCTGCAACTCCAAATCAAGAGTTGACTGGGCTTCGTGATCCAGAGGCAGACTGGTCCTGAGGGCTCCAGTGTCAGGGTCCACTGTAAAGTAGCCTGCAGGGTCCCCAGAGCTAATTGTGTAGGATATATCTCTGGAGGTGCCTTGAAAGTGAAAGAAGACAAAAACCAGAAACGTCAGAACAACATGGCAGGCTAAACTAAAAGCACTCGAGTAACAGTATACTCCAAAGATGTCATTTTTCAATTTTCATGACTGTAATGGAGCTCTAAAAACGTAGAAAATGAATATATAAACAACGTTGTGAAATGGAATTTTTGATCGATGTTATTTCAGAGTTAGGTGTGTGCAGCAGTCCAACGTCTGTTTCTACAAGTTTCTACAACTCTTTCCATCATGATCCAGTGTGACTGATAAATGTATATTACACTTTTTAATATGGGCTGTGGGACTACAACTTGGCTGTGAGTGAGTGAGTGAGTGAGTGAGTGAGTGAGTGAGTGAGTGAGTGAAAAGAGACGAGGGTGTGTCCATGGATCCCACCTGTCTTACTGCTGGCCTGGACGATGCCGACAGTCGTCCCCCGCAAGGCATCCTCCGACACAGTAAAGTGGTACTGAGTCTGTTCAAAGACAGGTGGCGCCACCAGCCCCGCCACCACACTAATGTTGACTCTGGCATTGACAAGGGCAGTGTGACCACCCCCATCCTGAGCAGAAATTATCATTGGAATGACCGAGTTGGCCTTACCATAGACGGATCGAGACAGCGAGATCACACCTGCAGAAAGGAAGCAGACAAGTTTCAAACAGGTTTGCTTGTCCTCATCACAGAACATCACAACGCATGAAATAGCAGAAAAAAACATTAAGCAACTATAATCTTGAAAGTATGCAGGAACGGGTAAGTACTCATGCCAACCTGTGTCTTTGTTCAGAGTAAAGTATGGGGAGGCCCCTCCAGGTATTGTTTTGTATGTAACTTTGCCATTCTCGCCTGAGTCCAGGTCATAGGCCATCACCCTGACAACAGATGTCCCAGGGGCGCTCTGAGTGCTCAAACTGACAGCATAGCTGACGGGGTAGAAGGCAGGTCTGTTATCATTTATGTCGACCAGATCTACCCTCACATAGGCTACTGAGCTGAGTCCACCCTGCAGAGGAAACAAAAAGCTCTTTAGTTATACCCCCACATACAATAAATCACGGACAGAGAAAAACACACCTGAAAGCAGGATTAAGGCCACATTCACAGTGCGAGTAAAAAAAGCAGCAGAAAACCCTGTTAAATGTGAATGCTTAGCATAACCTCTAAAATATAGTCCCAGCAGGTTCGTGCAGGGATACAGATTGATAGTCTCCCCGGGGAAGAGTAATATGTCATGACCCGTGGAGGGTGAGAGCGCCTGCCACAACCAAACAATCTGTTTCATAGGCTATTCCTTTGCAGAAAATACAGTAAAGGCTTTTCATTTGGACCAGGTGGCAAAAACCAAGGAGGCTGCAGTCCAACTTGTTAAAATATTACAGCCTGACAGTTAAGGCATTTCTCCATCTGATTGCTTTAACATGGCCGCAGTAATTTACTTTCATTTTAAACCTTTCATTTTTTAAAGTATTATTTGGCAAAAAAGGGAACAGGATATACTAACTTCTGAGTAAGCCTGTTATGGAGAACCATTCAAGCTTTTACTTTTTTTTTCTTGGCTGCTCCAATCAAAGTTTTTCTGCACAGTTGGACATGTCTGTGCTCTCCTGCCTGTACGCAAAGCACGGCTGCTGTTTATAGGATTACTCTCTGGCTCAATGGATTCATATTAAGCATGATTTCAGAACTTGGTGGCTCACCCCATCCACTGCAGTTACAGTGAAGTCGTAGCTGGCCGGCCCTTCATCTCTGTCTAGTTCAGCACTGGTGCAGATTTGACCGGTCTCTTTGCTGATGGTGAACTGAGCAGGGACGGCGCTGTTGATGCCAGAACCAAGAGAGTAGGTTATAGAGCCGAAGGAGCCTCCGTCTGAATCAGTTGCAGTCACCTTAAGAGAAAAAACACACATAAACTTTGTTAATGTACTATGTTTAAAGGGAAATATCTTACAAGATAAATGAATCATTTTGCAAACTCATTAATATCATTACTCCAAAACCACAGAAACTCAGAAACTGAAACAAGAGCACCATACCAGGTGCTTTTTGAAAGCATCTTTGGACCGTTCTTTAGCTTATCTGAGTCAGCAGGAGCCAAACAGTCTCTAAAGCAGAAAGGGCTCTAAGGGAATGAAAGAGGGTGGCAAGAAAGAGAATGACTTCTGCAGACCTTGGGAGGGATGCCAGCAGGAAAAAACTGGCCGCTACAGAAGTGGCGTCTGTCTGCAGAGGACAGTGACAGGGACGGCTGGGGAACAGTGGGATACCACACAGTACGCTTCAGTGCAGTGCATAATGCAATGTCCCGCTCATGGTCTGGTTTTAATAACCCCGCACATCTACAGAGGGCTGGAACTGATGGAGCTATAAAAGCAGAACACAAGCCATCAGCCAGGGAGCCGACTCAATTACTACACCGTCTCCCAAGACAGCAGAAGGCAAATACACCAATCAGAACGAGCCCCTGAGTACCAACAGTGTAATTGTTTGCAAGTGTTGGCTTTGGATCGTAGTTTGCTAGAGATTACAGTAGGGTTAAACCTCACAAGTTGATTAAAATTCTCCTTCCATATTGTAGAAATGGATCTTTTTAGGGACACACTAATTGAAGGCCCGATTCCTGCTCTGGTGTTCTTCCTCTCAGCAGCAGGGAGCGTCTTTTGTGTTATAGACGAAGTAGTCATTGGGAATATTGCCAAGAAAAATAAGGAAAGACATGCTTATCATCATTAGCCAACTTTGTAAAAGATGGCATTGGTGCAAGTGTGAGGCGATGAAAATCATTCATTGGAGGTGATGAGGGTTTTCGCTCCATGTCTTTCCTGAGCAGATGGCAGACGAGGACCCAGCAGAGAGCATGGCCCACACTATTGACTGCAACTCCTGAAGAGGGGGAGCTTTGTGGAGGAGTGCAGGGGTTGTAAAGCTCGCAGGGACACAAGCCAAAGAGAAGAATAATAAACCACACATGGAAAGGGGAAACCAAGAGCAATGCAAGAGAGCTACTCTGTCTTGTAATGCATGGAGGCTGCAGCTAACAGCAAAGTTTGATCATTTTTCAGGGGGACAAGTTATTCATAACAATCCAGCAGCCTTACATGTTGCTTTATTCTCTGTTATGTGATGAATATCAGCTGGAGGGTAATTGAAGGAGTGTTTTTTTTGAAGGAGTGTTTTTTTAGAGATACCTAGGTGAATAAAATAACTTTTAAATGTTTCAAACTCTTCTCAGCAGATCTGAAGGACAATATTTACCCTCTTGTGACTAACCAGTTTGTGACGGCAGTGAATGCACAAGCTATTGAAGGAGACTCCATGTTGCTTTCCATTTTAGCATAACCATCCAATTTTCTTTTAACAAAGTACACCCAGTCCATAAAAAAAACCAGCACCAAAACTTTAAAAAATGAGAACAAAGAAGATGTAAGAAGAAGGAAAAAAAGGAAATGAAAGTTACTTTGGTGGTGTGGGATCTCTTTTCACACAATGATTACTTGAAGATTCTCACACTTGAATTTTGAAAGTTGAATCCTTTATTCCTATTAAATTGAGTGTTGCCTGCGAGTCTTTGAAGGTAACCTTGGGCAGTGGGAGGTGCTTGATGATGGACAAGAGAGGGGATTGATTGATTTGAACACCATTAAAGACATTTATTTGATGAGATTCTGGCGCTTTAATAATTACACTTCCACTTTGCCACATGGAGTGGTGAAGATATTTGGAGTCATATTTGCCGGTAACAATATGTTCCATTAGTGCATGACTTTTTGGAAGCATATACTGTAAGCTTACAAACCTCACAATCACATTTGCATAAATCCTAACCACTGTAAGAATAAGGCCTGCAGCAATCAGTCTGTTTTGGAAACTGGAGAGACTGCGACTTCAATTCCACTCTCATTTCTGATTTAATAGCAGCATATCAGTGTCATCTTACTGAAATACAGAGACTCGTCTGTCCAGGAGATTATAATTTGCTGCCCATCCATAAAAATGACAAATGAGGCCATATGCAAATGAAAAATGAGCCAGACAATTAGTCAAACTCCAAACCATGAACCCTGGGAGAGGATAAGCTTACATAATGTGGCCTCTGGCATCAAAGATTGGGATAAATACATTAAACAATGAGTGTAAATCTCAACTGATGAAACAAGATTCCCACTAAATCTTGAATTAGGATAGAAGTTTAATGCTGCAGATCAGCAGCAGATCAATGTCACCAGTCATCCATCTTTTCCAATATATTTATTTTCCCCACGTCCTGTTTTAACTGTCAAAATGTGTACACATATGAGAGAAGGAAAATAATTTATAACCCAGAAAGGAATTGAATATTTCCAGTCATAAGCAGAAATTCTCCAGCCCTGCAAGGGGGAGAAAACTACTGCTCATCGCTTTGTTGTATTCCTTTTTGACAAAGACACAAGGCCTGTCCTCGTGTTTCCCACCGACTTTTACTCCTTCCACTTCAATGTATAGGTATTACGCAAACTCTCCACTTCTATTGGATTAAAAGTTCAAAAGCGGGAGTAATCTTAGATCATCAGCAGCAGCCAGCAGTATTCTCCCTACACTCTGTGTGTGTGAGTGAGGCATGATGGGAGCTGTCTTATCAGCAGGGGAAAGGCAACGTTTGGCCGACTCCTTAGTAAAACAAGCTGGGGGAATCCAAAGACAACTCGGGCACTTTGTGGTTCTCCCATCAGATTCCAAGAGCCGTCCAGTGGAGACTTTCTGACTGGCTGAGTGTCCAATCAGAGTAGCGGGATTCACAGGAGAGAACATGCCTTTGTATATTTATGTATATTATGTTCAAATGGAATAATGATCCTGAGGTTTTGGATGCTCCAACATGTTCTGGCCCATCTAATGTCCTCACTCTGTGGTCTGAGGCCAAGCCAGGCCTGGAAAAGAACAAGCCTAGAATTTCATCACTTTCTATTTTTAGAGTTGAATTTCCCAAAAGTTAAAATGCTCATAAAGTATATGTTTGTCTACTGTGGCTTTGTAGCTCTTGTCCTTACATACATTTGACAAACATCTGTTTGTATTATCCTGTGGATAATACAAACAGATGTTTGTCAGTATGTCCTCCTACTCCTCCATTCAACCCTGAGCAGCCATGCAAAAAAGTGCTGTGAGAAGGACTCCAGCAAAAAGCTGTGAGTAAATGAATGATGTAGAGCCGAAACCATTGAAGCCAACAAAGGGTGAAATGAAGGCCATGTAGTTTTTAATCATGCTCCTCGTATTTTAGAGTGCCCAGTCAAACAAATCAGTCTCACGTAGTCGTCAGTGAAACCAGCCAATCAGGACCGCACCTCTGCCAATCCAAATAGGCCACAAATGACGGAGTGCGCATGGAAATGTTTGCCAACAGGGAAATTATCACACACATCAATCAAACTTTGCATGCAAAGGTCCTTTCTCTGTACCTTCAATACGTAAGCAAAGACACAAATGTACAAACACTGGGGATAAAGTCATTGTTCATCACAGTCTTAAGATGCCTGTGGAGCTAAACAGCCAGACCGAGTTCTTTCTGCATCCCGATTACATCAAACTTTGCTTTGTATTCATCAGGAGCCAGCCAGCCAGCCAGCGAGCCAGCAATCCTGTGACTCTGGCCTAAATTAAACTCTGGGATACAGAAATGTTCAGACAATACTTGCTGACATTAAGAAGTCTCCAGAGGAAAATGTAAAGTCTGAGTCTACTTTCCCCGGGAGTCCTGCAACGCAGAACCAAACTGATTGAAGGAAGTCTCACTATACCTGCCCCTAATAGTTGACAATTTACATCATCAGTCAAGACACTAAGATGGTGCAACTTTTTGGGCCAAATACCTGCACTATAAGAAGCATAATTATACACAGGACAATGAAGAAGAAATAGGACATGGTGGCTGTCAGATTACAAATCAACCATATAGGTCAGATTGTCTCCAAAACAAACAGGCCTGATAATTCAAAAAACAATAAAAAACAGATAAAAGCCACTTACAATTAAATTACCTTTTTTGACATTTTCAACCAGGAATTAATTTCAGAAAGGGCAGCAAGCTGATCTGCTGCTAATAACTCATTTATAAATAGCTGCTCATCTTGTTTTGAGTTAAATCTAAGGACTTGATTGTTCACAATATTTCTACCAAGAGCTGTAAAATTTGTGCAGCTCTCCTCCCCTGCCAAACATAAAAGTCGTAAAAAAAAAATCATATAGCCTTTCAGGACTGCAAGCTGAGCACCTGCCATTTTATACTAATTTACAAAAATGAATCCTGCTTCTGGTCAAATTAGGCTAGATGACGGTGACACGCTGTGGAACACTAACTAAATCACCAGCCGACTGTCGGCAGTAGAGGAATTATAGAAAAAGGAGACTCGTGTAGGCTGAGTTCGATGTTGAACTGAGTTAAAGGAATAAATACTCTGAGCATGGTATTGAGCAGACAAATCCCATAGAACTGAAATCTGAATTTGGAACAGCCCAAGTGTTAAGGTTACAAAAAACCAGTGTGGATGTTAAACAGCAAAATAGTTTTTGGGGTCTAGAATCAGTGAACCACTAGTTTACTATGATGTAAGGACCTTTCTGAGGAAGGGATGCTGCTCAACCAAAAAGATTGTATCAGCCTGATCAGAGAGATTTAGCAATATCAAGCCCAGTCAACAGTTTTTCCCCAAATGTGGAAACTTCCAGATATTACTTTCAGAATGGCAATAATCCATATCAATATAATGTTTATGACAGTTTCACACACATGAGCAATTAGGCATGTAATAGGAGCACTCCCTGAAGAGAGTTGACACATCCCTGATTAATGGAGTGACGTGGAGATCATTAAAGGACAATAAAGCCAAGGAGGAAAGTGCAGGCTCAAAGA